TTTTGAGAAAACTATCGTCATATCATATACAAAGAGACACCAATGTTTCAAAGAGACACCAATGTTTCAGGAGTTTAGTACACAGAATAGGACACATGCTTATTAGATAACCATATTTGAGTTGATGTATATGCTTTTATATATTATTTTTTAATTGATTTTTTTTTCCCAAACCATTGTTAGAAGCAGTGTTTCCTGTAGATGTGCAAATATTTGGTTTCAAAAACAGTATCAGTAAACTTTCTTATGATTTTTAAATCTGCATTGAACTTCAGATCAATCTCAAAGTAAAAGGCGGTACTAAAGTCTGATTTTGTGGTGGATGTGCTCAAATTTGATCATCTTAATTCAAGTGATGAAGGATTGTGAAAGTCTGACAGTGTTGAGCACTACTGTAAGGTTAACCCGGCATGGTGTAAATGTTTGAAAATGATTAACAGTTGCAAATAAACATTCATTAGAAATGTAGAAAAGTAATCAAAAGTAATCAGTTACATTACTTTAATAAAGTAATTGAAAAAGTTACACTACTATTACTTTTTAAATAGGGTAACTTGTAATCTGTAACCTATTACATTTCCAATGTAACCTTCCCAACACTGCTTCTGGTTCTGCTAATGTGAAGATTATTTCGCGGCCCCATTAGCAGGTCCCATGGAGAGGAAGTCTCTGGTCTTGTATTGAGAAACAGCTGCCACTTCTCTGTAGCAAAATTAAACTCTCACTTCCTGTAATGTTGCGGTGCTGTCGTCCTCCGCTCTCTGCTTCTCTGACTCCGCAGCGGTCGGAGAAAAGCCAAATGTGTGTAAAACTGAGTCACATTCAAAAACATCAGACTCAAGTCACCATTTCAGTAAATACAGACATATATTGAAAAATTAATATCAACTGACTGATTAGTATGCTAATCCTAGTGTCTTCTGGTTCTGTGTTTGTGTCTCTTCCAATGATCTCACTGTGCTGTTGTTGTTTCTAATGCTGCCTGTACTTTAGGATTGCTTGCTGCAGAAAGTAGGTATCCCACGGAGCCTTTGCTTGCCATCCAAACAGCATCCTCATCTTTATCTTCATGGTCTGTTGTCTTGCATGTTCCTCCATCACTGAAGCACACGATCAAACACGGCTCAAACGATCAGAAAGCACGATTCCTCTCATTTCCTGCACTAATGTGAATAATGTCTGTGTGTGATGATCTGTGATGCTCGTCTCCATGTGTTGAGATCCAGGAGCTTCTCTGACGTGTCTGATTCTGTATTCGTGCATGTGCACCACACTGCTGGATGTGAGTAAACAAACACACACACACGCTCGCTCACTTACACACACACACACACGCTCACTCGCTCACTTACACACACACGCTCGCTCACTTACACACGCTCACTCACACGCACACACACACTCACTCACTCTCTTACACACACACTCACTCACTCTCTCTCACACACACACACACACACACACACTCACTCACTCACTCTCTTACACACACACACACGCTCACTCACTTACACACACACACACACTCTCTTACACACACACACACACAGACACACACACTCACTCACTCACTTAGACACACACACACACACTCAGCTCACTCGCTTGCTTATGTGGTTTATGGGTTCATTCCATAGGCGTAATTGTTTTTCTACTGTACAAACTGTATTTTCTATCTTACCCTAAACCTACCCCTTACACATTTTTGAATTTCAAAAAACAGTTTAGAATGTTTTTTTTTTTTTTTAAGCCTTTTGGTTTACGGGGACAAAGGAAGTGTAAACCTCATAAACCATATTCACATTGTAATACTCCTGTCATTATACACATTTGCGTCCTCGTAAACCATATAAACCTGTACACACACTCACTTACACACATATTAACCAGAAAATCTGAGCATATCACACCAGTCCTCAGGTCCTTACACTGGCTTCCAGTTACATTCAGGATTGATTTTAAAGTACTTTTACTCGTTTATAAATCACTCAATGGCCTAGGACCTAAATACATAGCAGATATGCTCACTG